TATATGCTCCAAGATAGAGGCTCTCATAGATTAGAGTTAGGGCCAAACTACACAGAGGGGCCTCAAGGCAGTGTTGCTTCCACATATTTTGCAAAAATTGTGCAATTAAAACCTCTGGTTAGTAAGTGTATTTTTTTCTCTGCAGGCTAGCTGGTGAGTGTGCTGGGAATTTTTTGTTTATGATTAATTTTCTGACACACAGATATTTTTTCTATTCATCAGAAGCAACTGACACTAATTCTGCCATGGCTGATCAACTTGGTAATGTCGAAGACAATCTCTGGTTTGTGACTTTTTTAAATTTAGCTCAGTCAGTTTAAATACAGTGAATGGTTGACTGAATGACCATACTGATATGTGTGTAACCACCATAAAAATTCCTTCAGGATCTTTGTGAAAAAAATCCCTTCAATGGGGCCTTTAGATAGCATGACTAAATACCTAGCCTTTCAGTTTTACGAGTAGCACTGGAGCTCTCTCCCTAGCACATCGTTTTCACCAGGACAGGTAAGAATTGTAGCTCTTCTGTTATTCGTAATCCATCCCCACCTAAGAGAGCATATTGTTTAAACAAAATGTGAACACAGGAGCCCTCCTTGTTAGGAAAACAGTAGGCCCTCCTTATCAGGAAAACATGAGGAAAATAGTGATAGGAAAAGCTAACATTTTTAGAATTTGTTAGATCAATAAGGTTGGAAGATGCCACACAATGAGTAAAATGATTCCTTCACACCTTACTGAGTCGCTAAAATAAATGCCACTGCCAAGGTTTCCAATGTCAGTCCTCTCCAAACCAAATTCATCAACGATGATTTTTGGCAACAGCAATCCACTGGAGAGAAAACACAAGAGGATTAAATGTATTAAAATTGATTCACGGTGAAAATCTAGCAGAGAGTTTATGTCCTATAGAACATGAATGCAATGGATAGAGACAATTCTCCAAGTGCAGAGAAATAGTGTCAAACAGTCAAAGTCCATAGACTCTTATGGTACACACTAGCAATGTGTACATCTTTCAGGCATGAGTGAAGGTCCAGACACTTCCTAAAGATGCTAGTTCCCCATCTCTGGCTTCAGTGTTGTCTAATTTACTAACCCTCAAAAATATGCTCCAAGTGACGTCAGATTTGTTACTTGCTCGGGATCAGTGACTCTGTAGGTAGTGAAGCCAATGGCAGCTAGTCAGATGGCATTTTCAGGACAGCAATGGCAGTCTACAAATTTCTCCAATGACCGTTTTCTTCTCATTTCTACTCATGGCCAGGTGAGCCTAATTAATATAACAGAGCTGTTCCATCCTTGCAAGTAAAACATAATCCACTTTGCTGTTTTAAAGTGCAGGTGCATATTTACAAAGTGTATGTGTAAAGTGGGAAAGGATTAAAACCCCTCTCAGTTTTTTACTGCTGAGGCTCTGTTATATACAGTTCCAATCCTTCCCCTCTCATTTCAAAATTAAAATGTTTTGGCTAGAAACTTTTGCTTATGTACCCCCTCCAACCTCCTTTGGCTACACTGCATGAACCTATTCCCTCTACCTCCTCCACTGTCTACTCACCCCCTTTTGCAGAGCTATAGCCTCCTCCGTGTTTACAGGTTGTCCCCAAAAGCCTTTTCGTCGCTGATCATGTATTAAGTCCCTTTAGACTTGAATGGGGCCACATAACAAATACATTTTCTGGAGACAGCCAATAAACAACAGAGGATGCCACTTTGAAACTAAGAAAAGTAGGCAATTGGAAGGGGTAGGTAGGTGAAGTTTAGGGGTGGATTGGCAAAAGATTTGCTAAAAATACAGCTGTTCTTTAAGTATTTTTCTTGCCTTCTGGTTGCCAGTAATCATTACATCAACTCATGCAAAGTAAATGTTGTCTTACCGGGAGAGAATTCCAACAATGTTGCTTGGTAAGGAGGCATGGAGCAAGGACTTTACATTGCCCAGATTATTCTCAAAATTAGTGGCTTCTGTTAATCTTCCGACTCGGAACACACGTAAAATCTGAAACTCTTCATTGCTGTAAATAGGAAATATAATACTTTAATTTGCAATTATTATCATTTTATGTCACCAACTTATGTGTTAACACCAATAATAAGCCAATGTTGTTTCAGTTTGTCAAACTTTTGATAGCTGATCTTGGTCTTTTCAATTCTTCTGCAAACTATGATTCTGACTTTCTTGTCTCTAATTATTACCAATTTTCTAAGACTAATAATTACGTATCAAGCAGATAATAATAATAATAATAATAATAATAATAATAACAACAGCAGCAAATCACTGTGCTTTATAAATATGTATTTTTTTATATTAAATCAGGGGTAGTGAGCAGTATAGCTATGCTGCTACTTTATAAATGTACCCATGCCTAAATTAACCAAATTATATTCCAACTACTAATTCTGAATACAGGAAGCACAAAATGAAATCACCCCTTATATGCTTATCGTGGTAAACATTTTTTTCTGTGCTATACATGAGACCTAAGGATATGGAAAAGTAATGCGATAGACTAATGCAGACTGGAACCTGTCCTGCTTTCACTTACCTATGATTATTATCCAGAACCTCCTGTTTGACCCGATGGAACTCCTCTGTGTTTGGATCAACATATTCTACTCTGCACTTGAGTGCCCGGTACTTTCCAACAGTGCTTGGGAGAGAGCCTGATGAGTTTGTCTCACTGATATTAACCATGTCTCTAATTAGCTGGCAGGAAATTTGAAAAAACAAAAACAAAAACTAATCAACAACTGAAACAATCATACAGTGGCAGACCAGGGTTACAAAGCATACACCACAGGTGTTTATAGCTATCTAAGTAACCAACAATCTCTACATTCTACAGGCATATTAACTCCATGACCAAGTCACTTACGGGTTGAAATTTATCAGACAGGAGCTGGTTTCTGGCTGGATCATTAGTCACAATAAACTATCATTGGAAAAGAGGGAGAAAGAACTGGGCCTCCATGCTAATTTACTTTAATCAGATGCAAAAAATAATTTTGAGTTAATTAAGTTAATCTTCTTTGTACCGAATTCATTTTGTCTTGGAATGGAAGTGCCAGCACTGATGGCTGAAATGGTAAAGAAATTTCAAAGCAGGGATGTGTATCACCAACACCTACCTGCAGACGTCTCTATCTACAGCTAAAACTTCTAGGACAGCAAATTTCAGGAGGAAGGGATGAGACTCCCCAATGGAAAAATTGCAGGCTCAGGATAAAAAAAAAAAAAAGGGTTAAATAACTACATGGGTATCTAGACTGAAAAAAGACACATGCCCAATGGGTTAAACTATAAAGCTGATCCACAGAAACCACAGTAAAGTGGAATTTAAATTCCTGATGCCATAATATGTTGTAAAAAGTGTGCATTTCAATGTACAGTATAAAAAATGGCAAAATAATCCAAGACAAAATCCATGATAGATTTGATAAGGACCTATACTGCCCTGACATACAGTTTAATAACACTTTTATTCAATTGTAAAAAAAAGTAGTTGAAATGCCCATATTTTTACCTGGCACAAGTCCTGTTTCGCTGTCAAAAATTTCTTAGCAACATTTTCCTGCAGTCTATACCGGTGGGGAATACATTGGTAAAACTCTTTCATCAATTCTCGAACACCTTCACCCTTGTTCAGTACATTGCGTACATTTTGTAGAATTCCTTCAGCTTTACTCACCTGCAAAGAAGGAAGAAAATGCATTTATTTTTCTGTTAAAGCAAACCAAAGCTATTCAACAATGACAATTGCAATGTATAAATATATATCCTGTCATGGACAATAATGGATTGGTGACCCTTTGTGCTACATGCACAATGGGGAGAATGCGAGTCTAAATACATGGCACCAAATCCTCACCGAAGCACCCTGCCAGAGTGATGGACTTTAATGGAGAGTATATTATGTTGTGGCCCTCAAGCACACCTGTGCAAATGGCAGCTGACCAGGGGTTAGAACCAGAACATGGTAAAAAAGTCAACATGTATATTGAGAAACAGAAGGTTTGGGCAGACGTAGTCAAAGTCAAGGTCAGTAACAGGAGAAGCAGGACGCATCACAGACTGAAGCCTTGTCCTAGGAAATTAACCTACTGCTCAGGAACGGGTGTTGGCCTGAGTGCAGCTGTATAGTGAGGTTGATTGACAGACTGGGCAGGGACTGGCTGTGCAGTTTCTATGCCAATCAACATGCCTCTACTTTCCAGTCCTGTGGATCAGCACACTGTAGTCTAGTCACAAGTTAAGAGAGATTACACAGATTTGCAGACCAGGTTTGCTGTTGACCTGTGATTATTCTTGCCCAACGGTGACAACACTCACTGACTGTACTGTATGAAGGAGCAGCCTGTCATCCTAACACAGAAAGTGTGTTAGGACTGCAGAACAATGCCCCCTCTCGACTTCACCATAACATAGGGAGAGGTCTTTGTTTAGGTTTACGTTACCAGTAATGCCAGAACTCTAAATAGTGAGAGAACCAAGCCGAAAATACTGCAAGTGATCCATTTAATGTAGCAGGAAGATAAAGAAAAAAAACCGCAAAAACCTTCTTTTAACGTTCATATAAATATTAGATCCAAAAATAAAAATAAAATCAAGGTTAAAGATGGTTATATTTTTTTTCTTGTACTTAGTCTCCATTAAGCCTAGAAGACCCTGGATTGGATTCTCCCCATCAATAAAAGCACCCTATATCTTACCCCAATAACAATTAACATAAAACTGATACAATTAAAAATGTATACTATCAGCAAAAACTTTTTAAAATAGTTTAATCATTTTAATAAAACGTATCAATAAATTATAATTTTCTTCAATTTTTTATTTGTTCAATTATATGTTTGGGTGAGTCAAATGTATCTATCCTTCTGCCAAATCCTTCCTTCCTGAAACTGATACTCATGGTTTAGTATCGGGATTTTAGTCACTTACCAGGTATAACCTAGGTTTCCCCCTCCAACCCATAATGCATAAGAAAATGTGTGCTGCAATAACATTATTTTAAACATGCTAAAATATCATGGTAACAGGAAGCCAGAGAGTGGTTGTATTTCTACTTATCTGAAACTGTATTAAGAATATACATAATTGACAAAGGCTGATGGCCCCCGACACACGCATCATGGAAAATGTCAAAAGATATTCTGTTGCTTGTAGGATAAAGCAAGATCTCATCATGGCAGTGTGTGTGTTTTACCACGGTCCCAGGGGATTATGGCAAGGTGACATCTGGACAGATTTTACGAGAACTCTCAGTGGCCTTATACTAATGAATGGCACATATTCTGTCAACTAAATATTTACTATACTAATGCATTCATTGTTGTATTTAGTATCAGCAGGTATAGTTGTCAGCTTACATCATTGAGGCTAATATTTTTCACTGGACAAGACAGTATAGACGAAAGATGTCCTTGTGCTTCTGTCCAGATAGACTCCATAAAGCCACCAACCTCCGGGGACAGCTGTGTGACATTCAGAGCTTCTCCAAGCAGGACCTTTTGTTATGACAACAAAAAAGAACATTTTACCATGAAGCATATACTTACACAACTCTCTATTGTTACAATTCATTGTGGCCAACTTAAAACCAAGTTCTCTACCAAAATCAGTATCTGCCACTGCAGAATTCTAACTAGTTCCCTTATTAACTAGTAGCCAGTTTTTAAACTAATGCTGTGGTGTACAAAACTATGTTAGACTTGATGAAAGCACCTATAGCAGCCTGCATGGGTGTTTGATTATCTACACAAGCACTACTTGGTCTGGCTCTATTATGCAAACATGAAGTTAAATCCTGCCCCACCATATGTCAGTGATGCTGGCTGTCATATATTTGTAGAAGAGTGAGGCATGCTAAAAGGGAGATGTTGGGGCCAATCACGGACATCAGAAAATAAGTCACAAATTACATATTAGAACACTCTGACTTTATGGGATCCCAGGATGCTTAAATAACTTACTAAGAATATGTGATGGTACCTGTGGGTGCTCCTGGGGAAGATTAATACATTACATACACCATAGGTTACTTTTAGTTCATCACATACACCAATATTAATGCCCTGGCTTATGTAAGCTAAACTTGAGTTTAAGTGACTCTAAACTCAGGAGTTAAATCTTGTATCTAAACACTAAGGGAGAGGAGATGGAGGAAATACCATCTCCTGCCTGGAAACTACTGATAACAGCACTGTCCCAAAGAGCATTCATGTGTCTGGTGTTCAATGACAACTGTTTTTTAATAAAGGTAAAACTTTTTTTTTTTAAGTAAGCTGTATATATTGATTTGTCCGAAATGTATTATTGCAGACACCTTAAGACGCAAAAACCATTACCTTTTGCAAAGCCTGGGAAGCAAAGAACTCAGCTTCAGGTCTGATCTTATTAACCTGTGTGAATCCTTTGTTTTTCAGATCCTTCATCCGCTGTTCATATTTATTACACGCCTTCTCGCTGGAAGAAGCTAGATTAAAACTAAACTCTTTCTGTATTGAAAGAAAATAAAGAATATCTAATAAGAATTTGTTCTAAGATTGTAGCATGGTTCACAATTTACTTCCTTAGCTGCTCAAATGTAACATACTGTGCAATATGTCCCCTTCACTGCTTCTTACAAGTGTATGTGGTTTTTTTGTCTCCAAATATACATGTAAAGGAGCTTTGCTTAAAAAAGAACTACGACCTCCCATTAAACTGTGTCTGCACTAACTATTTGCCCTCATTCCCCCTGCAAAGTCTCACAAATACCTGTTGCTCTTTCTAGTGACAACACTACTGCAAAGCTACTGAATTCAAAGCAGTGATGTCTCTAATGTAGGCTTCTCATCTGATCAATATGTTGCAGGGGGTGTGGCCATCATCATTGTCACCGCTAGTTCATATGCCTATAGCCTGTCAATCAGCAGTTGGCCACATCTAGCACATCTACTGCTTTCTGGATTAGAAGAACTTGCTGTGCTGCTAAAACCCTGCAGTGGTGGAACATGAGACACAAATGAAGGAGCATCTGGCTGGAGGCAACAAAAGTATTTCTCTTGCATCACATAGTAACTGGATTTGAGACCGGTTTAGACTGCCAAACATCTACTTTAATATTAATATTATTATTACCAACCTGGTAGCTAGAATCAGAGTCAACAATTCTGTATCAGAACCATCTGAGGCACAAGAAAGGGGTCTCCAGTTCTATTTGCCTTAGCTATAGAACCCTTAGCTATCCTAGTATCCCCCCTCATCAAGGGCCTTAAAGTCAGCTTGACTGTCTACAAATTGTGACAGTTTCCCGCTCGTCCGTGGGCACAACCGACATTTTAGGACGCCCAACCGCATCAACAAGGTTCCTGTCCGGCTGTTTTGCTACGTTCGGTGGACGGGAGCCTTGCAGATGCGGGTAGGCATCTTAAAACGTCCTTTGTGCCTGCACACGAGCAGGAAACTGTCAACATTTGTAGAGACGCCCGATCGCTTGTATGTTGTGCCTTCATGCACAACATACAAGCTTCTTAGCCCTCTATGTGATAACAATAAAGTTAAGTGTA